TGTGTGTGTGTGTGTGTGTGTGTGTGTGTGTATGTGATTGTGAGTAAGTAAGTAAGCAAGGGGGTATATGAGTGAGCGAGTGAGTGAGAAAGTGGGTGAGTTAGTAAGTGAGTGAATGGGTGTGTATGTATGTGTGTGGTAATCTGTGAATGATTTTACTTCAGCCTCTTCTGGATTCTAATATATATGAAGTTGTTTGGGCAACAATCATACTCTTAATTGACAGAGTGATAGCATGTACCTCCATCCGACGAGTGTGTTCAATCTGAGTGTCCAAATATTATGTGTACTCCGTGATTGCAACTGAGTTATAGTGAACGTGCACGTGCATACCTTTTCGCCAGCTGTTTGACATACACTTCTGCGTCCCGGTGGTGCTTCGTAGCGTTTCTGGGACGGTTTCCTGTCCGAGATTAGAACATAGTATATATACTTCAACAATGGAAAAGTACAAACATTCTTAAGATAAAAACAATAAATACATTCTTCATGGCTCGTCCCACGAACAGCCCCATAACAACTCAGTGTCACAATAACAAGGGCACAAATACAAACAATCACAGGTGCGAGACTTTTCCCGACCCTGCGAAGGGAGACCACTGCTATTCGAACTATATATTACCTCGCCTTCGCCGCCTGGGTTTGCGATGCGTCTCGATTGCTTGGTAACCGAGCTTCGGCACCGATCCCAAGGTCGCTTGGCCCTTCAGCGCCATTTGTGACTGATTTTGGTTTCCTCGCTTTCTTTGCCACTCTACTCTCCGTGCCAGTGCTAATCTCAGCGGGATTGAAGCTCGTTCCTACACTCATGTCGACAGCCTTTCCACGAGCAGACGCCTCGGACATTGCTATACACACCGTTTTGATGCCATAAGTGTATGCGTATGTAAATGCGCTAGAATGTGGATATAGTTGTGTGTGTGTGATATCAATTCAGCTATAGTGGTTGACAGGTAATAAGCATAGCCAGTGATGCTTTAAAGTGGACTATAGGCAATACCACTAGTAGTATGAAATAAGTAAACGGCAGACAACACTTTAGAAACATATATAAACAAACAAGCACGCAGAATCTAAAAATCATAGAGGGGGTTATTTTATCTAAACATACTGTGAATATCATTTTTTTTTTGTGATATTATTTTTTGAAATCACTGTGTAGTGTGTAGTGACGTGAACTCTCTGGTACAAAAATAAAGATTTATTTTTTATAATTTTTACTCCTGCTGTTGGCCCGGCGCAAATGCAGATTTTCATTTCTTAATTTTAGGTTTTCCCCTCATCTGGGTTTCTAATCTATGGCACAATCAGTAATAAAATAAGAAAAGTTTTCACGATCATAAATAGGTAAATACATACACAACAAGAGTGGGCAATCACTAAATACATGCGCAGAAGTGTGTATTGGTATATGCAATACACGTACTATATCCATCATTTACCTTATAAGCAACGATTTATCTGTGGTGGCGAACGTGGGACTGCACATATCTGTATTAGCATCTTAGTGTACAAGTTTTTTACGATATTCTGCAGTTATTTACGCACAGCTCAGTCACTAATGGTAGGGATCTGTACCACAAATAACATATACATAGCCATTGAACCGAAACTACACGTTAAGCAAGCATGTCCGCACGTGATGCAGCAAGTACGTTCTTTGGAAATGCGAGAGCCGGTGTCACAAGATGGACCGAAAAAATCAAGGGAACGGATAACAAGATGTCCATTGAGGGCTTAAGGTGAGCAACCTGGGGTGCAAACTCACATCATCCCGGTATATATATATATATATATA